TTAATATATAAGTCGCACCGCAGTATAAGTCACAGGAAACACCCAAACCATGAAAAACGTGCAAATTATAGTCCGAAAAATATGGTAGGTTTAATCTACACTGTGGAACATTGTAGACACAACAATAATAGACAAGCAAGTAAGTGGTGGACTCTCCAGAAATGTTACACAGTGCACCTTTAAAACTATGACATATTAGCCAGTGTGTGACAAATTTAAATAAATTATTCACCAACGAGTCTCTTTCCATGACTATAAATCGTGGCGCATTTTGTCTTCCACTGATAAGCAAGTGAGCTATTTAAACTATCCGATGTTAGGAAACGTTAACGCGAGTAGGTCACTGCGCTAACTCAAAGGAAGAGGGAAACACCTGTAGAAACGTGACTACACATCTCAATTATTCACACCCAGGTTTATTTACTCACTACAGACTTGAGAGCGACTAAAGGCAACGCAAGGATACTGGACACCGTTGATCTAGTTGTACACAATAAGAACTTAAGATACTTCCAGGCCACCGTACCGTGTAGTTAATGCCCTGATTTGTTCGCGTAATCCAAGATGGCCCATAGTAGAGTAATTGTACAGATTATCCGGTTACGTTCTATTTGCAGCTGGCCCTTGAGTCGGACAGTGATATGCGATGGTGTCTCATTTGGCCCGAACCAGGACAATGACAGAGACATTGACACGCTAACATGCGAGGAGTGATGTGGGGATGTTTGATGCGTGAGGTTTTCCGTGAGGTCATCAAAAAATAAATAAATAAACGGATCCATCTTGGAGTTTTTTTGTTCTTGTTGTCTCTCTGCAGTCCACGTAAACTATACTGATCTTAAAAAAAATAATAATACCATCGACATTTACTAGAACGATTTGGGAAAAACATCTGCAATTTTTTGGACACGCATCGTGATTGTGAGTAAATTTGCAGTTTTATTAATTGGGTTTTGTTCAAAGTTCACATTTTAAGTCCAGCGGATTTGACAAAAAAAAGATAAGACAAGAATCGCATATGAGTTTTCATATTTGTACAGATCTAAACAAAAAGATTAGCAGTTTTTTTTTGCAGATCAGACAAGATATTTTGTTGTAGGTTGCAGAAATTATTGCAGTCTTGGTGATTTCCTAATTGCATCCATTTAAATTTTGATTCGATTAATCTTGTAGCCCTTTCATTTACCCTATAGTCCTATAGCGCTAAGATAATGAGACAAATTATAACAAAATGAACCCAAAATTGTATTCTGGATATGTATTCTCTCACTGAAAATAATAATGTGATGTGTAATCTCGTTGAGTCATCACGGGTTGGCGCGTTACGTCTAACCACTATGCCACTTCTGCATTTAGTCCCCCTCGTATCTATAGAACGATCACGGCTGCATGTGCCATTGTTCATAAAGCTTGACTCACTGTACGCCACGTGACAAAGAAAGCTTTGTTGAACAGGATCTGACGTACATCCGAACGCACCACGCCTCCACGCACATAGCTTTGCATGACACACTTTTATCTCCCGTCAAATTGTAGTGTTTTTATCATGGAAATAATCAGCATGGCATGGTCCAGTCATCAAGTGAAAAAGGGCACGCCAGCCCACAACAAACATGAGGTTCTGAGTCCTAACATCAAGAATTTCATTTAGCAAGGTACAACGTGTAAGGGAATCATCATAAAAACATCAAAAACGAAAGCAACAAATATAAGTAGAATTAATTTTATTTTTTAAAAGAAACAATGAAATCCAACCTACCCTTTACTTAGCACATGCATACGGGTAATTCCACCTCAATTCACCGAAAAAAAAAAGCAATTTGAAAGCTTACATTGTCTATTTGTAAAGAAAATATGGTGTATGGGTAAATCATAGCCAGAAAAGCCAGTATTTCAAATTTTAGTTTGATCAGACCAACAGTTTGTGGACATCGCAATTTAATTTTTTCACTTTTTGTGTGGTGGCCAAATTTCAAATTGCATTTACTGAGCAACTACTGGTCCAATATCAAAAGGGAAAGGGAAAATCATAAGGAATCCAAATAGGGCATTACTTTTTGCATTTGAGTGCTTTTGAGATGAATGACCTTTTGACCTATATTTTGACCTTGAAATTGGCAATAAGGGACACGCCCGACCTCAGTGACACCAATAGGAAAAATGTAGCCCTATATGTCTACTACAACATATAAAAAATCTGGAGGGGTTTTCTTTTTTATTTTCACACTAATTTACCTATAAGTTGATCTACCTCATCTTAAGACGTGCCAAATATCCATTCAGTGTATGTCAACTTTAAGGCTAAAATAAAAGTCAAAAGGTACTGTAAATGGCCTTGCTAGATGCTGCACTAGCTATCCAAACAGTTAAACGTAGACCCAGAAGAACTTCACAGAGAGCGGCTGGCTTTGGTGAAATTTACTGGTTCTTTGTCCCGTGAAACTACAACAGCAAACACATACAAAAATAGCCATTAATATATGTGCCAAATAAATTACAAATTACAAAAAGCACCAACAATTAAAGTAACAGTCAATGAATTTAGGCAGTTAGCATAACGGTTAGCATAGCGAAATTAGCATATGAATCGCGGACTAATTTGCATAATAATGGTGCACCAAAAACGTGCTAACTTTTACATTTCTAACACAAAAGGCAATATTAAAGGTGTACAGTCATGTTTCACCATGTAATACTCACAGACGATGCTTGAACAAACACCAAAAAGACTCAACAGAACCAAAGGGCAGCCATTTTGGAGGAGTGAGGGCTGAACAACAACTTCCTGTCTAACATTCTTCTTCTACTATTATTATCACAGGAATAAATTAAAGCGACCACTAGATGGCGTAACTTAGCATTCAATAAACATAAAAACAGTTAAATACAGTAAACATAACAGGTACTGTATTTCTGCACTATTAGACGCTCTGGATTTTAAGGCGCACTGTCATAGAATGGTCTATTTTCGAACTTTTTTCACCTATGAACCACACCGAAACACAACAGTTAGATGGGTCAGTGGGACTTTGTTCACAGTGACTCTGGGCTTTGTTCAGTTGTGGCGTGTAGGGAGGGTGCTGTCTGGGACCGCTGGATTGTTGGCGTGTTTGCAGTGACTCAGTTGTTCAGTTGTGTCTAGAAGTGGCACATTGCACTTGCTTTTTCGGTTCGTTTCTCCGTTCCGTTCCTCATCCATGTAGAGCGATGAGTGTGGCTGCGGGTGTTTTTCGCTGTCTGCTCCGTGCCTGTTTGCGTGCGCTGCGGGTGGTGCGGCTTTGTAGTTTACTGAAGTCGTGCTGGGACATCCGAGTGGATTCATGTATAGCGTGCTCTGGTCGTTTTTTGATGGGGTTGCAGGCTTGGGGGCTATGGTGCGGAAAATACGGTAATTCATCTCAAAAGTACTCAAATGCAAAATTAAATGCTATTGGTTTCCATACAATTTCCCCTTTCCAGAGATACCTTGGTTTTTGATATCTGACCAATAGTTGCTGAGTAAATGCAATTTGAAATTCGGCAACCACGCAAAAAAGTGAAAAAATGAAATTGCGATGTCCAGAAACTGTTGGTCTGATCAAACCAAAATTTGAAATGTTTTACCTACATGCCACGTTTCATCAAAATTTGACAAAGTAGGGTTTAACTCATTGGGTGAACTGAGGTGGACTGACCTTAAACAACTTACCGCTAGAGGGCAGTAACGTAAGGCTGCAAGTATAGATTATTTCAGTAGTCAACAAGTTAGTGATAATTGTTCGATTAGTTCACTCAAATGATTACAGGAAAATGTAAAAGAGTTAATATTTTGTCCTCACAAGTAAATCACGGCTATTAATTAAACACATGCTTTTCTTTAACATTACATTTTATTTTGATACGATCATAAACAATCAATTTTGTGCCTTCTTTAATATTATTATTAGTTTGTACGACCATGAACAAAAACAAAGCTGGCATCTTTAAAAAAATTAAGATAAGAACTAAAAAAAAAAAAAAGTATTTCAGTTTGAGGGGTTAGTTTATGGAACAATCTGAGTGATGATTTTTAAAAAGTAACACTGTAGAAACCTTTAAAAATAGTATAAAGTGTAACGTTTTGAACGATATAGAGCGCTGGAATGAATGAATTATGCATTCAATTTAGGTTGTTTTCATTTATATTTTGTCTCTTATATTTACAATAAGTTGTACGTGAAATCGTAAATGCAAAGTCACTGTTCATACATTGTTTTTCTTTCTTGGAAGTCTGTCATTGTTTAAAAGGGTTTGGCTTTATAAGTGCTTTTGACTTCAACCTAAACCCTTCCGATCATGATCCATGGGTTTATAGTCTATGTTTTGTTTTGTTTTATAGTGACTACAAAATGATTAAAACAAACTACTACTATATTATTGCTATTGTACATTTACATGTTCAAACCACATTTTAACCAATTAAAGGCCCAAATGTGGTGACAGAAGACTTCTGAATAGAGAATATGTAGGAATATCAGACACATTTACTCTTTATGACATTTTGGTTTCATAATAATTTTTGTATGCAATTGTCTGTATATGATGATAACTTATGATTATAAATATGACTAAGATCATTTGTTATAGTCGATTAGTCACCATTAGTTGCTGGTGTGCTCTTCTAAACTAAAACACCACCAGGACAAGTCAAGTACTACATCAAAAACAATTCTTGAAGAGACATGGGTGCATGTACATAGAAATGTCCACTTCTACCACAGTGTATTAGTAAAAAGGGTTTAAAATGTGCAGTACATTTACAATACGGTGAATCACAAAACACTCTAGTAATCCCTGTATCATTCATTCTTTCATTTTTCAAAATAAAACAGAAAAAAAACCAAAAACAAAACTATTTTCTTCATTATTTGTCTCCAAAACCAAAATGAAAAAAAAAAAAAAAGGATAATGATTTGTCTTTTCAGTTTTTGGTTTTGTGTTTAAATGAATAACGGAAAAAAAAGATAATGGCCATTTCCTGTTTACGTGACTTAAACTGCGATGCCAGACATTCGTGCCACATACGAACTGAACAAGGACTGAACCACGACTGATCCCAGGACTAAACCAGGACTAAATCAGGACTAAACCAGAACTGTACCAGGACTGAGTGTCGGGACAGGCCCAGAGGTGCGCGTGCGTAGACTGTCAGGGGATCAGCCTGAGACTGGGGCCAGACTGGAACCAGAAAGGGACTGAGACTAGGACTGAGACCTGGACCAGACTGGGACCAGGTCCAGGACTGAGACCGAGACTGAGACCGGGACCAGAACAGGACTAAGACTGGGCCTGAGACCAGGACCGAGACCTGGACCAGACCAGGACTGAGACCAGTTTAGTACTGGTTTAGTCTTGGTTTAGACTTGGTTTAGTCCTGGTTCAATTCTGGTTCAGTCCTGGTGTAGACCTGGTTTAGACCTGGTTCAGTCCGTATGTGGCGCAAAGGTCCGGCATCTCAGTTTAACTCACGGAAACGGGAAACAGCCGTTATCCTTTCTTTCCATGATTAATTTAAACACAAAATCAAAAACCGAAAAAATAAATCACTACCATTTTTTTCATTTTGGTTTTCGAGACAAATAAGGAAGAAATTAGTTTTAGTCTTATTTTTGGTTTTAGATTGAAAAACGAATGAACTAATGATACACAGATTTCTAGTCTATACAATATCTAGCCTATGGCATGTGACCCTAGATTTACCTTATCTTTACAGACTTGCCACACCCCCACATGTCTTTGTCTATTATGGTTCTCCTCAAGGTTTCTCTTTTTCCCCTGTTCTTTTTGGATTTTTTTGTTGTTGAGAAGGTGGGTCTAGGAAGCCGGGAAGTGGATGTTGTGATATTGGATACACAGTTACATGGGATTGACTTCTATGTGCTTTTAGGTTTGGCGTTTCTCCACATGACTGACTTGGTTTGTCTCCTCTGCCCTCTGTAGTAAAAAACAAAACAAAACACATGCATATAAGATCTCAAACTATGTGTCACCATACTGTAAAAAGAAAGATTTTTCATAATTAGATGATTTCAGAACATACTACTGGCCTGCGAGAATAAACTAGTTGATTAAATCTCGTGAGATAACAGATCCATTCACTTTTTTAACCTTTAATTTTTCAATTTTAAGGCTCATTTACACTCTTTATTCCAATGTGTATGGCAAATAGTTTCTGAAAGGCAGGTTCTGATTACATACGGGTGAGTCAGGACTACACCAGCTCTAAACCAGCTCTAAACCAGCTCTAAACCAGGACTAAACCAGCTCTAAACCAGGACTAAACCAGGCCTAAACCAGGCCTAAACCAGCCCTAAACCAGCCCTAAACCAGGTCTAAACCAGCCCTAAACCAGGCCTAAACCAGCCCTAAACCAGCTCTAAACCAGGACTAAACCAGCTCTAAACCAGGCCTAAACCAGGCCTAAACCAGCTCTAAACCAGGCCTAAACCAGGCCTAAACCAGCTCTAAACCAGGCCTAAACCAGGCCTAAACCAGAAACCAGCCTAAACCAGGCCTTAACCAGGCCTAAACCAGAACTCAACCATGACTAAATCAGGTCTAAACCAGGTCTAAACCAGGACTAATCTTGGACTAGAGAGAGAGAGAGAAAACTCCCAAGCCCGAGTCCTGATTTAGTCCTGGTTTAGTCCTCCTGGTTCAGTCCTGGGATCAGCCCAACATTAGTCCTGGTTTAGTCCTGGGTCAGTTCTGGTTTAGTCCCGGTTCAGTGTGTGGTATGCGCGGTGCAAAAGTCTGACATCTCGATCAATGTTTCTTATGCTCAGTGAATAAAGCGTCTGTGAATTTGTATTCGTACTGAACAAAGCGTAACCATTTCATTTCATTTCATGATTGTAATTCTTAAAGTTAAAGTTAAAGTAAAATTCTTAACTTTTCAATTGCGGGTCTCCAAAAACGGACCCGTGCAGGACTCTGGTGTATGGACGCGCATGTTAAATAGCCACATTTATAGAGCACTTTTCTTTCTTCTAGACTCTCAAAGGGCTTTACATCAAACATTTACACCACTGCATGCAGACACTGGGTTAAGTGCCTTGCCAAAGGACACAGTGGTAGTATTCATCTGTAGGAGCTGCAATCACACTGCCAATCTGTGGACCAGTGGATCTTTCGGCTCTACACACTGAGCTATGTTTATGCCAGGAGCGGGAATCAAATCGCTAACCTTCAGATCAGAAGATGAGCACGCCAGCAAAACAAAATACCACTTTCACCTTGTTTTATTGACTCTTCCCCAACAGCTATGATCTATAAACTGTTGTGGACTGAGGGGGCCCAGATATCACGGTGGGAGGCTGCCATTAAAAACACTAAAGTGGTTGGAACACGGCAAATACTGGAAATAACTGCGCCGACATTTTGACATAATGTATAATCCATTTTCCTTTTACTTTTATACCTCTATGTTTGAGTTTCAGTAAATTCTCTCACTTTTCATGCCCTCTGGATGGTTGTAGAGAACACAGCTTTGACATTAGAAACTCTTAAAAGTGTAGTGAGTGTAATAGTTACTACTCTTGGGGCAGATGGATTTGTTGACATGCAAAAAAGTATAAATGAGCCTTTAGGATAGGGGTGTCAAACATAAGGCCCTCCAAGACCTTTAATCTGGCCCTCGGCAGATTTTTTACTAGAATATTTTAATTACATTTTCTATTAAAATATTGGTAATTTTCTGCGGTGCTTAGCGTAACAGCGTCTCCAGCGCCTCTGTGCGTGGACTCCTCGCACCAGAGCAGCACAAATGAAGACTTGCCTCTTTCCAAACTCTGAAAGGACAATTGTTTTTACTGTTTATCGTGACACCCTCATCAGCAAAATGTCAAAAATGAGAAAAGTGGACGCCGAGTGCAGGATTTTCCAAGAAAAATTGACTTATTCCTATTTGCATACAAGTTCATGTTCAAAAATTGTGTTGAAATTGCATTTTTCTAAAAGTTTCAGGTTGTTCATAATATTATAATACTTTGTAAAAGAAAGAGTTAATCAATTATAAAAGATTTCTGTAATAGATTTGCGTTTCTCTGCACAAATATTTGAACTTATTGCTATTTTTGGGGTATATATGCCATGAATTTCCTGATCCGGTCCCTTTGGGATCAAAGTAGGTTGAATATGGCCCCCGGACCAAAATGAGTTTGACACCCCTGCTTTAGGATAATTCCACATACAGTCAATGTTAAAGTAATGGCTTCATCACAGAATCTGATCTGAAAACAATCAAAAAAAAAAAAACAAATTACCTGTAGATCTTCAGTCACTTTTTCCTTAACCAAGCTGAAACACAGATAATATTGTAATTATCACATGATCGAAAAAAGTTGGTCATGACACTTTAACGCCAAAACTACGCTTTTTTACAATGCTTTACAAAGACATATATTCTGGATCAAGCTTCATTTGGTCTTCCGATAATTTTTGTTATTAGGTTCTTTTTTTCAGACCAAGAGTTTGTTTTTCATGACTGACAGTTTCCAGTGCTCACTAGCGGTCTTCCTCAGAGTGGTCACGTGATGTTGCTGTGACATGTCAGGTCAGCTGATTTTTGGAGGTTTTGTCTTCCTACCGGTGGAGGCAGGACGACAGCGCCATCTGCAGTCCGATTCAAACATCATAAGGACAGAGGGCAACAAACAAAAATCATTGCTGGATCAAAGAGGCAATCGAAATACGGAAACGTGCCCATGGGGCTATGAACTTTTTCACTCTCACACACCTGGGATACTGTCCTGAGGAAGTCAGACTGCAGATGGCGCTGTCATCCTGCCTCCACTGGTACGAAGGCAGCGCCAAAACCTGTTTAAATCAGCTGACCAGACACGTCACAATAACCCTCTATTTACACCAAAGCGTAACAGCGTGTAAGCTCAGCAGCACAGCACACGAACAGCACGCACAAAGGTTTGGCTTTCCATTTTAACCTTTCAAACAATCTACACCAGCAGTGTCATGCATGTTTCCAATGGCAGTCATGAGACTACGTGCCGCTCAAACTAGGTTGGAGTTATAATTTTGCAGCGTCAACGGAGCGTCTCCAGGCTTTTCAAAAGGGGAAAGACAGGAAATGGGTACACAATGTCAAAATAAACTTCAGATGCCCTTTCAAAATACGTTCTCTAAAATCAGTACAGTCGCGTTAACACTGTGCATCGCATCAGGAGCTCAGGGAATGACTCGTGATGGACTACGGAACGTTTACAACCATGGAGAATAAATATAAAACATTTTATGACACCACACAACAACTTTAAAAGAACAACTTCTGACGGTCTGTGGTGCAAACAAACGTTCGAGCACTTATTTCGAGCACCGAAGAGACGGCTCGTTATCGCTACAAAGCATCGTCTCTCTTGTTGTCAGCTTTGGTATTGTGTAAAAAAAGTTTAAACATGAGAATACACAGAGACTGGCATCACAGGAGCAGCTTTGTTGCCTCTGGTCTAAATTGAAGTTTGTGTGTATGCAGCTCTGCCTACATTACGTGCTGCCGATGCTCCTGGTGTAAATTCCGGGTTACATCACGTGACCACTCTGAGGAAGACTGCTAGTGAACAATCGAAACTGTCAGGCCTGAAAACAACTCTTGGTCTGAAAAAACAAAACAAAAACCTAACAACAAGCCTCATCAATTTCCAGTGGATGTGACAGACAGGTGTTTTAACCAATCAGAGAAATGCATGCTCTGTTTGCGTCAAAACAAACATGGTGGCTTAAGAGTAAAAAATAAATGTACCCAGAGGTATATATGAGGTAAAAGATGTTATCCTGTTCTGAAAGGTTCACGACTATTCAAGAGGAGATGTCTTTTGCATTTGAGAGACACGTGATACACACAAGCTGCTCTAATGGCCATGTTTTATTATTTGAGGAGCTTTATGTTTCCAGACTCTCCTGCATTTGAACAGAGTCGGAGGAAATGCTTCGTCAAGGAAATAATTCTCACCACTCAATGAGGATCAGAGCGCTGAAGAGCACAACAATCCCACTCATCTTCAGTATGGTGTGAAGACCAATCCCAAAGTGGTCATCTGAAGAAAAAGATGAAATGCCTTTATTTCATTTTTGTATTTAATGGAAGCAAGAAAATACTGTAACAGGAATATTGACCAGGCATGTACCGAGGTGAACGCTTGGCCTTGTGCTATTTTAGTATTTTTACAATGTGTTTTTTCATCAGTTTTGGTCAAGAATTTTGTCTGTTTTTCTACAGCGTGTGTTCCAGCTAGTTTCACTAACATCTTTTCCTTGGTCCTAGTTCTCCTTGGTCCATCTTCTCACCTCTGCTCCTCAGTCCTGCCAGCTCCTACCCAGGCTGGTGCCACTTAGTGCCTCCGCTCGTTTTCATTTCTCTCCAGCGACTAGATCAGGAATCGGAATACACTAGACGGTTTTGCAAGAACCCCGGAATCAACAAAGACCCATATATTCTGTGTTGGCAATGATTCCTGAGATCGAGGAATTAAAGCCAGAACAAAGAGAATGTTTGGTGAATTTTACCAAGGGGAAAGAAGTTATTGTCCTTTGGGATTTGGGAAAAGCTTAATGTACCAGTTAGCCCCATTGACCCCCATGACCAAATAGCAGCGACTGGTTAAGTAAAAAAAGTACCCACTTACCATCGAGTGAACAAATTGTAATGCTGTGAGGTCAGACAGTTTCTACGAAGTGAAACCGGATGATGAATCAGGTTAGCCAGCCCCTGCCCTACCACTCCATTTACTCACCTCTGCCAGCTCCCTCCAGCAAAATTGTTAAATAAAAACTTGTGCATTTATCTCATTCTGCCTTTGGGTCCAACACTGGTTCACCCGGAGAAGAGTTAAAAGACCACCTCTTCTATAATATGTTACAGAACCCCCCCAAAATAATTGCCAATTTTCTGTGTGAAATATAATTTAATTAATAAAAGAATGTGAACTTCGCTGAAAGTAAAAAAAACAAAAACATTGCTCTGAAATAGTTGTGGATAGAATTAAATAAACGTCTACATTTTCAACAATATTAATCTATAAATGTCCATACCTTCACTCTGCAGGTTGATGGTTGGAGAGTTTTGTTCCCCGACTTGATTCTTGGCTTGACAGAAGTATTCTCCTTGGTTTGCACTGTTGAAGATGAGGCTGTAGACGTTTCCTTCATGAACTCTTTGTGGACCCTGTGAGGTGACCCTGAACCAGCTGAAGCTTTGGACTGGAGGCCAGGCTCTACTGGAGCAACTCAGATTCACACACCCTCCCACAGACACGGGGAAAGTGTTCACTACGGATGTGTTTTTAGGAGAATCTGAGGAGACACGTGCAATATGGATCATGTTGTGTTTATGACATAGTTGATAGTTTAGATGTTTATAGCATATGAATTTTAGAGTAAAATGTGATTTAAGGCGGATTTCATTATCAGAATAATCGTATCTTGTTCAGAAAAAAACAAAAGGAAAAAAGAAAAAGAGAAAGCTATTTTTTTTAAAGTGAAAAAGGCAGTGGTAATTTGAACTGTTGCCCGTGTTTCTAACCAGTGGGACCAAGTCATCATTTTGCAAGTCTTCAAGTCTTTGACCTCAAGTCTGAGTCAAGTCCCAAGTCAAATACAGGTAAGTCCAAGTCGAGTCTCGAATCAGTCACTGGCCCATAAGCCCAAGTCAAGTCCAAGTCGTCTGCTTTGAGCTTCAAGTCAAGAGCTTTAAGTCTTTAAAATAAAGTACCAAATACAGCTTTGTTTTTTGCAATTTATATGAATTTTAAACTAAACTGTACTAAAAAAAAACATAGTATATTTATATATGAGTATTTATAGAGTATATAAGAATTGTAGAAATGCATTTTTTTTCCTTTTTAAATGTCTTGACAAGATCTTAGAGTGAATCATTATGGTCAGAACATAATGAATTCAGATTTAAAAGTGCTTCTCAGATCTTCTCAAGTCACAGGCCTCAAGTCCGGGTCAAGTCCCAAGTCACTGATCTTAAAATCCAAGTCAAATCCCAAGTCTTCATTTTATCAAGTCAAGTCTCAAGTCCTAAAAATAGTGACTCAAGTCTGACTCGAGTCCAAGTCACAACTTGCAAGTCCCACCTCTGTCCCTAACTATTTCTAGCACTACATTTCTAGCGTCTATTCATCATCTGTTGCATAAAAGTGATGTTTACTTACACTCCACACTCAGATAGATGGTCTTGTCTGCACTCTTCTGTCCTCCCTTCACAGGATACATAGCAGAACAGTGCACCTTCAGTCTACGGTGCTGATCAGATAATCTCATCTGGAGTTGTACTGAAGTGGTGAAGGTCCCATCAGAGTTTTGGACCATGTGTTGTTCTGAGGTTTTGAAGCTCCCATCAGGGTTTTGGAGCATGTGTGGAGGCTCTGGTTGGAGGCTCCATGTGAGTTCAGGAGGAGCTTCAGGGCAGGGAGAGGGAGCAGAGCAGGTTATATTCACTTTCTCGTGCTCCCTCTGTGACCCTGACACCTGCACTGACGGGATCCACGCAGAATCTGGACAAGAGAACCACAACTTTTTAATAGTTACAATGAATACTGTAGCTACTGTAGAATTATTGTAGAGTAAATGACTGCCTTAACCTCAAGCCTAACTTTAACCTAAAGTGTGGTTGAGCGGTCAGATCCACAGACCCATAGGTCAGAGGTCCTTGGGCAAGACACTTAACCCACCTTGGCCTTAGTGTCTGTGTACACTAGTGTGTGAATGTGCATGAATCGGTGAGTGGTCCCTTGATGTGAAATGCTTTAAGTGCCTTGAAGGTAAAAAAGCACTGTATAAACTGTCTGTACACACAGAGCCAATGTAAGAGGTGTTACTAGTGGTAACTACATTGTTCCTATGTACAGGACGACTCTTGGTCAGTCTCTTTCTCTGCTAAAGGGGCCAGACTGTGGAACTGTTTACCAGCTGATTTAAAATTGGAAACCAATAACAAGAAATTTAAAAGAAAATTTAAATCATTGTATGTTTCCAATCAAAATGTATCCATTGAAAATGTACTGTACATTGATGAGCCATCAGGGCCTGCAAGACCTTAAAACATATCTGAATCACAAATTAATGTTAATTATATTATTAAATAATTCCAAATGGTCTGTCTGCTTCCTTTCATAGCTTTTCTGATGGTTGTGCTGCTTCCAGAAATGTATTTTCATATTAAAGCATTTGACCAATCACATTTCAGCCCTCATTTGTTGCCAGGCAGAATCAAAGTCAAAGAAGTCTACCTGAGGAATTCACAATCTGTTCTGCAGGCCCTCGAACACAAAATAAATGTCCATGAAACTGTTGCTTCAACCAATCAGATTTTAAGTTGGTGTTACCAGGGTCTTCTAGCAGGCAAACGACAACATCACTGTATTCACACCCGCTGCTTAGAGAGTCAGAGAGCGAACCACACCATGTGATAAATACTCCACCCCCTGCTTAATGACACTACTCTTTGAATAGATGTCTTAAAAGAACACTACATATAATGGGATTTCATTCATCGTAATAAAAAACAAGTATATGAAATACATACAATATAAAATCATGTGTCTTACCTTGGACCGTTATCTGAAGTGGATCACAGTTTGATGTTGCTTTAAACTTGGGGCTTTCTATTCTGAAGAAATACTGGCCAGAATGATTTGTGTATATATCAGAGAACAGAGTGGTGCAGTTTTTCTGTGTCAGGTCCCCAGTAATTTCCATAGGAGATCTGAGGCTGGGCCTACCGCTGTGAAAAAATACTGGATCCGCTGCTCTACCTAAGTGGGGATATTTCCTACTCCAAATGGCTACTACAGGTTTGGTCAGGTTTAACTTAGATTCATGTTGAGATGTGAATGTGCACGGGATCAGCAAACAGGTGCCACTCAGAGCCTCCAGGTTTGATACAGAGATGGTCAGAGCACGGTAATATTCACATCCTAAAGCACCTGAAACACACCAACCAATAAACATGAGAAGGACATTTGAACAAGTTTTACATTAGAACCAAATTTATTGTCTTGGACTTGTTACAGCAAAGATTCTGTAAACACATTTAAAATTGCATTCTTCCTGATGATCACATGTTGTACAATGAGGATAATATAACATTAATAACCTTTGTGTTCTGCTTCAATCACAAATGGTAAATGGTCACATTTTTCTATAGCGCTTTTCCACCTTCAAGGCACTCAAAGCGCTTTACAACAAGGAACCACTCAACCCATTCACACACCAGTGTACGCAGACACTGGGGGCAAGGTGGGTTAAGTGTCTGGCTCGAGGACACAACGACAGCATTCATCTGTGGGAGCTGGAATCACACCAGCCAACCTGTGGGTCAGTGGATCTGACCGCTCAACCTGTGATGTTTATGTTGAGAGCTGGAATCAAACCGCCAACCTTCAGATCAGTGGGCGAATGCTCTACCAACTGAGCTACTGCCACAAATAAAAAAATGAAAATGAGCAAACTCACCAAAACTCAGCAGTAAAACAAAACAGATGCATCTTTCCATTTTTCAAAGGCACACAAGGGGAAGACTGGTGGCTACGTTAGGTTTTCTTCACCATAAAGTGTAATTTCTTATATCGGAACTTCCCCTTTAACGGTGGAGTGAGTGTAATGATCAACTTCCGTATTTCACAAAATTATACTGCCCTACAAAGTCAAAAGACCCTTCAGTTTTAGGTAGGGCTCCCAAAATTTCACAACTAGTTACTAAAATTAAGAAATATTTGTATGCGAAAAATATTGAGCTCAGACTTGACCTTTGACCCTTATTTGTCAGTTCCTCTACTCTGCCTTTGTATCATGAGCCAAAAATAAGGAGTCAGGCAAAAAAACACTGAAAACTTAACTGGTTTAAGATTAGTTCAGCACATTTTTTGCTGTTGGGGATAAGGCAGAAAGGCACAGACACACAGATGTGAGCGTCAGGAGGAGCAGAGACTATATCAAAGAAATGATCAAAATAAATAAATGCATTAAACAGAAAGACGTTTATATCGAATAGCCTTTGAGTAGCAGATTATAAACCACCTGCTCCTTATGACACACAGAATTTTTTTTCAGTGATTGTATATATTTATTCATAGTGACCAATTAGAAAGAGGTGGTGATCCAGTTCAGTAAAATTATTTTTATTTAGTAATTTATTTCAGAGATCAGCAGTAGTTTACGGTTTATTGTTCATACAAATAAAACATCTGAGCAGTAATTGAATTTTTAAATTCTATGTTAATGGTATAGTTTGTGTTTTAAGGTAAGAAATCATGTTAATTTAAATAAGTTATCAAAATGGAAGAGAACTTAAAATCAGAAGTCCAAAATCAAAAATCAATCAATAACATGTCCATGGAGAAAGGCAGCTGATGGATCCTCTACCAGACGTTACACAATGCAACTTCAACTTTGCGCAATCTGGTGCATTTGTGTGCAGCACCTAAAAGCAGAAATAGTTTGCCCCAGTGTTATCAGATCAGCGGAAAACATGTGAGAAAACAGTTGTGCAGAATAAATTCCCTCTAGAGTAGAGTCAGTTGCAGAAGACAGCCTCTGGTGTGCATCCCCCTGTACCTGATGGACGTCTGTAAAAAGGGACTTGTGCTTTTAGATTTTAGAAACAAGTCCATGTATTGCCCCATTCATTCAGGAATGGTCCAGGGTAGAAAAGGTTTAAAAGTGGTCATTGTTAGGGAAAATAAGTGTTGTTTTAATGAGACTCTGGCGTCTGACGCAGGAGAAGTTTATTTACCATCGTTCTGGGACCCAGTGAACTTGAATATTCAACACTGTGCATTAGTATTGGCTTTTCAAGCCTGACTATGTGGTCTTGTGACTCCTGTGGCTCCTGTGGCGTGGGCATTCTCCGCAGACTGCATTATAGAAATAAAGCGATGCAGCTCCAGCACGACTGCTGCTGCCTGTTGTCCTGCTTTTGCCTGGTTATCTCCTGCTTCTATCCTGGCTGTGGGAGATCGTCTTTATGCTGTCTGCATGCTCTGTGAATGGACTGGTACTATGTGAAAAATGCAACTTAATGACAGTAAGAAAGATGTTAATAGCAACTCTGGATTATAAGTTAACTAGTATGAAAATGCTACTAATAGGGCAGCAGGAGAGTGAAAAAAGGTCATAGATTGTTATTTTTTATTCTATGTGTAGTGAGACGCTTGTGGCCTATAAAAATGGTCTCTTCTCAGTGCTCGTTCTTATCTTACCTCTCCCCCATGACACCACACACCACGAAACAGAAGCTTGTGCAGGCTGTAGCCGCTAACAGGATCACCACAGTCATGATGATCAGTTGCACTAAATGTCTCCGTACATGAGGGTAAAGCCTAGAGAATAGCTCAAGTGCTGCGGTCATCATGAGTTATACTAGGATATAGCGAATCTTGTATGTCAATGTTACGCATTTAATATTGTAGACGCAGACTGCTGGTGGGTGAGCCTCCCTTTTTTATTCGTACCTGTGATCGTCTTTCTCCAACCTCCTGTGATGATTAGACTGACATTGACAATGGAATGGATTTCATGGACTGCATTGTTATTTCACCTGGCAATATGGAACCTATTAATAATTTGTCATCTATATATTTAATACAACCTAATCGATCTCAATGTCAATTTAATAAAAAAAACAAAACAAAAAAAAAACACAAAAAGCTATTTTTTATTATCTCCCTTCCAGTTGGTTACATATAGTCATCTGTTGTATGATGAGATCAAACCAGTGTGTAATGTGACAGGCGTCTATTTGTACCTCCATTTCACATTTTGCTCATATAATTATTTGTAGTGTTAATAACTTGTGTGGTGTCAACCAAAGGGTGTGTTCACACTTGGTCTAACGTGAACTCTGGTGCCTTTTCTGATAATTACATTTCCTGACCTTCCACAGCTCTTGTGGAATAAAAAAACAACGTGAAATCACACATTACACTGCAAAGACATTACACTGCAAATAAATTGAGACTTTTTTTTTTTTTTTTTTAAGCTGTCTTTATTTAAATGTGGTACACAAATGTAAAATGGAATGGAAAGCATTTACTGTGTCCAGTAACTGTGTATTCGGTCAAGGCTGCTGCTCCAAACTAAAGATTTCACTAAATATTCAAAATCTTCCATAACACCTTATTTGACAACTGTCTCTTCCTATTTTTATTGCTGCTTATTTAGAATTTTATTACCATTTTTAGATATATTTTTTACTCTTTGTTATGGTTATATTGTGATGTGTGAGCTACTGTGTCCAAATAATTTCCCCTTTGGATCAATAAAGTCTGTCTAAGTCCAAGTCTAACTCGCCTTCCTTCTATCCAACAGCTCACTGGACAGAACATGAACCAGATCAATGATGTGAACACAGATGTAGGTTTTCCTCGAAGTTCTCTTGACCAACAAGAATGAAAACGCCCCAAAACACACAAATACTCAATGATGCACATGTTGTGGTGAAAAAGAGAGAAACTGATGCTGCGTTTTAAGAGGGAGTTGTTCTGCTCGTAACCACTGCAGAAGATGTATTCACACTTATCTCACCCACTGTATCAAACCGCTGGTCTGACCAAACCCAGGTTAGATCATAACTAAACCAGGACTATGACAGAGCCAACACAAAACCTACACCAGGACTAACCAGGATAACACCAAACCTGAAGTCAGAATTTTTATTTTTGAACGAATATTGAGGTAAAACAAAAAGAAAAAAAAATCTACTAATGGCAGCAGGGTTTGTGAAAATGGAGATACACATATTTCTCATCCTTCTGTTGTGTTCAGGTGAGTTCTGCTAATGTTATTACGGTAATTCATAGTAGTAAGCATATAAAATAAATTGTAATATTCTGATTTGCATAAATATATGTTCTAGGTGCTTTAGGATGTAACTATAGACGTGTTCTGAACATCTCTGTACTACACCTGGAGGCTCTGAGTGGCACCTGTTTGCTGATCCCCTGCACATTCAGCTTTTCCACTACATATAAATTAGACCTGACTAAACCCTGTTGTAGCCATTTGGAGCAAGACACATCCCAACATGGGCAGAAATGAAGATCCAGTATTTTTTCACAGTGCTAGGCTCAACGGCTCATCTCCTATGGAAATGATTGGATACCTGCATCAGAAAAACTGCACCACTCTGTTCTCTAATATAAACACAACTCATTCTGACAAGTATTACCTCAGAATACAAAACCCCAGTTTTAATGCGACTGCAGTGTGTGATCCACTTAATATAACAGTCCAAGGTAAGACACAATTGCTTGTTTGTTTTTGCAATAACCAAATCACTAAATTGTGGTAATAACAAAGAACGAACGTTAAATAAATTAATTGAACTGAAGTTTAAAATGAATTGTGGTTCCAACAATAGGTTTTAAAAAACAGTAGTGTGTGAAGAAGTTGGTAAACCAGCTGATTAACACATTTTGAGGGCGTGGGCTTTCACCTTTGAATGTGAGTGTGAAAAGAACAATGAAAAATAACAAAAGAAATAAAGGGGCTTAGAGAACTAATTAAAAATCTGAGTCTTCTTTAACAGCACTAAGTCTGTCATTACACAATGAAGAGCTGTACGTATCTTTCAAAATATGATGTTGCTGCATTACTGTTGAGAGTTAAAAATGTAACTAGTAAATATAATAAAAAATGTAAAGTAGTGTGTAAATTCTTATATTGTTAAGGGTCTTACTTTACTAACTTCAATTAAATTCTGTCTTATTCAAAACCATCCAGTTTAAGAACTTATGAGCCAAAAATATGCAAAACTTCTAAATCTTAACAAAATCTTGTCACGAAAAGTAACTTAAGCAAGAGTTATATTTATGAAGGTTATATTTGTTCACGTACTAAATGCAGTAGATGTGCTAAAACAGAAGCAGTTAAGATTAGCCAAAGAGAAGAAGCGGAGAAACGCAGAGGAAGTTTAGTGGATGATGTGTTTGTGAAAATCGCCTGGGATAAAGGGTTTAAACATGTGACAGCAGTAGTTTGTGAACTAACAGTGCACTGGTATTCAGTAAAAGTGTACTTAATTAAATAGTTAAAAATTTATTCTTATTCTAATAGTAAATGTTCAGTTTGCCCACAAATATGCCTGCAATCTTCCAGTTTGCATGTTTAAAAAAAAAAATCCTGGCTGTGTGTATTGTTAATTCAAAAGACTTTAAGTAAAGTAGAAGTAAAAAGTACTTCTGTTAAAACTACCATTCCTTAAAAGTACTACATGAATTACATGATTGACTCTTGGGAGCTTTAGGCCATGTTATAATGCTGTTACTTCCTCAAAAACACACTTGAAATTGTGTTTCATTTCATTCACACATGGGAGTGAATCTTTATTATTAGTCTGTCCACATTTATTATTAGTCTATATCTACATCTTCAAAGCTCAAAATTCTCTGTTCCACCTTGTGATGTCATGAGGCAGTAGAAAAAGTGTTTCCTCTGAAGAGAAGAACTCTAACTGCCTAAAAATGCAGGATTTGCTCGTTAAACAATGTGAATGAAACAAAACACAACAAAACTTCAAGTAGTTTTGTGAGGAGGAAACAACATTATGACACTAAATCAATTTTTTCTGGTCATCACTATCCATCTTTTGTGCAGAATCTCCATCGACCCTGTCAGTGCAGGTGTCAGGGTCACAGAGGGAGCACAAGACAGTGAATATAACCTGCTCTGCTCCCTCTCCCTGTCCTGAAACTCCTCCTAAACTCACATGGAGCCTCCAACCAGAGCCTCCACACAGCATGCTCCAAAACTCTGATGGGACCTTCACCACTTCAGTACGACTCCAGATGAGATTATCTGATCAGCACCATGGACTGAAGGTGCGCTGTTCTGCTGTGTATCCTGTGAAGGGAGGACAGAAGCGTGCAGACAAGACCGTCTCTTTGAGTGTGGAGTGTAAGTGTTCAGAGTTTTGGAAATGTCTGTGATAATGTCCAGTTTCTACATGTTTTGTGTCAAGAGCTTTGAGGCAAGAATTATTATTCTGATTATCAAAACAGTCATTTACAAAATGTATTATTTTAACAGCATTAAGTGTACATTATATTTAAAGGAGATATATGCAAAATTGACTTCTGTGAGTTTTTACCTACCTACTATTTCTGCCCAAGACTCATACTCATATGGCTTATATAGGGTTTAAATGTGAAATTAGGAAGCAAATGAAATTCAACTTCTTGCTATAATAAAATGCCACTATGCATAATCAGTTCTGCAGTTTTGAATAGGAAGTCAAAGGACCTGTTTCTCTTATTATTAAGCTGTTTTAAATCAGTGTTTAGGCTACAAAAACAAATGTAGAATAATAATCTCTGCATATTATAGTTTATTATTAAGTATCAAGAAAAAGCAAAACATGTTTTCCTTAAATCATATCTTGTCACTATCATATTTTGTTAAAATGTGTGTCATGTCTCTTCAGATTCTCCTAAAAACACGTCCGTGCGGCTCAGCTCGAACACTTCACTGTCAGAGGGACAGTCTGTGAATCTGAGCTGCTCCAGCAGAGCCTGGCCTCCAGTCCAGAGCTTCAGCTGGTTCAGGGTCACCTCACAGGGTCCACACAGAGTTCATGAAGGAAACGTCTACAGCCTCATTTTCAACCGTGCAAACCAAGGAGAATACTTCTGTCAAGCCAAGAATCAAGTCGGGGAACAAAATTCTCCAACAATCAACCTGCAAGAAGAAGAGCTACCATGGAAGCCCATTCTTGGAGGAGGCATTGGTCTCCTGATACTCATCTGCATCGCTGTTTTTATTAGGTGAGTGAATTTGAGTCCTCCTCAGACACCTCCAGTGGTGTTAATTGGTTTTAGATGTTGAATACTACCAGAAATACCATCTTTACAAGTGCAGCCTGTTCCATTAAAATCATTTGTAAAATAAAAACAAAAAATGAATGAGAACTTTGCACATCAATTTCTTGAAACAGGTGCATTAGAGGAGAGGAAGCAGCCCAAAACATGAACAGACAAAAATCCCGCACACTGTCTTATTGAAAACCCTAACCCTAACACCATTAGCCTTAAGCTGCTTAATTTTTTACATTTTCTGAATCATGTACTAAAGCGATAAGTAAACAATTGCAGGAACACATAATAACATGTAGATCATATGATACAGTTAATCAGCATAAAAGAAGGTGATTTTCACACATTCTGTGCTCTGTTCTCATGAACACACATGCACTCTGGTGGTGGAGGAGAAAAAACAACAAAGGGCGACAGAACGAGTCTTAGCTGCACAGACAGAGGTTATCAAAACAGATGTTTCAAATGACCAAGACTGCAGCACCCATCCATACAAATAGACATGATCTAAACACTTTTTTTACCCAGTGCATTTGATTTAATGCCCTTTTACATCAACCTAACTAACTGAAAATGTTATCCTTCAGTTTGGAATTTTGCAATGTTAGATTAGTATTTGTATTTTAGCATACTTCTTTTAAGGTGTGCCCATTCTATTTTTTTCATGTTATACTGTATTTGTTAAGTTCTACTGGGGGTTTAAGGAGCAGTGTAATTGGTCTAACAATTGGTCAACATTTCAAACTTTACCCCTGCTACCTGGACAGTCTTGAGTGATATTACATAGTACTTTAAACTTGCAACTGTGGGTCTAAATCTCTGCATGGATAATATCTCGGAGAAAACAGACGCCTTGCATAGAGAGATAGAGAGCAGTGTTATGTAAATTGGACGAAGCCTTGCTCTAAAACCAAAACAACCTTCAACAATCTTATTTTTTGGCCTCCCCAAGCCAGCGAAGGTCACGAGCAAGGCCGGCCTGGAGTTAAATCGCCCTGAGACTACAGCAGAGAGAGCCTGGTGGGTGGGTCTGTTGTATCCAGAGCTTTTTAGGTGTGGATCCAGGTGGCTGCCTGCCTACGTTGGGTTAACGTGTTGTTTTTTGTGCACTTTCTCAAACCATGTACTGATTTCAGAGCATGATCTGGGGCGGTTCTTTTTTTTTTTTTTTTCTCCCCCTATCCTCATGTTATGCTGCAGTGTTTATTCCTATCTGCTACCTGTCTCCTGGTCCGGTCCACGTTGTCATCCCCACATACTGTATTGTATTGTATTGTATTGTATGTTTGTAATGTACGAACGGGGAGAGAGGTCCAATTTCTATTCCTTTGTATGTAGAGAATTGACAATAAAGGCCCTTATTCATATTCATTCATGCAGTGGCCACAGTTTGTGCAGTTTTTGACCAGAAAGCTGCAAATAGCTGTTCAGTTTAGTTCTACTTTAATCATTTGTTTGTGTGTCTGTGTGTTTTTTTCAGTCATCACGTCATTTCTAAAAGTCGGGCCCCAAAGGAAGCCCAGGTAAGATATTATCTACAGTATCTCAGACTGTGCCAAAAATATGCTTGTGACAGTTTCACTCTTTCTTATACAGATAGAGATTTATGAGGAAGTGCACAAAGAGGAAGACACTGTCCTTTATGGAGAAGTGGTGTTTACCAAGTCTACAACATCCGGGCCTGGTGCTACGGTCCAGCACGCAGAAAACCCGGAGGAGACCATCTACTCCCAGGTCAAAGTGAACAAGGCAGCGGCCGGCCCAACACAGCCCACAGAGGACATTTATTCAACAGAGAAGAAGAGCTGAGTCTGTGATATTTTATTTATAGAGGCAGAAGATGCAGAAGTGAACAGAAACATGCGCTAAATTGAGTATTTTTAAACAATTACAATTCTCATTTGAACTTAGAAACAACTGGCTGTCTTGAGATTTACCTGCTTGTTTTTCAGAGTTAACAGTTTGATATAATAATTTGATACTTTGTAGTGACATCACGCTGGGTGTGGTCTGCATGTATGTCTGTGGTGGAGTTTTCATGGTGACACAATGCACACATTAGCAAACACTGCCAACTACGTTTTAAGATATAGTGTGAAAACTGAATAAAAATACAAAATATATTTAAACTAATGCTGTCAAACAATAAAAAATATGATTAATCACGACTAACTGCATTGCGTTGAGATTTTTATGTTGTAATTAAAAGGCTAATTTGAAACATTTTTAAACTTTTTTTTAATTTTATTAACATTATCTTTAATTCCAATTGATTTAAAGCTCAGCTGGCTAAAATTTAAGTCTAGAAACTTTGCATTTCATAATGAATACTTGTATCTACATGTTCCAGTTTATTGTACATGACCAAGCAACAGATTTAGTGGAGTCAAAGGCCCTTCAGTGCCGCTTGCGGGTGTAACTGCCTCTCATTGTGGCAGATGTAAGCTGTTAGAGTGGGCCTTGTGTCTTCCAGTGTTCCGTTTTGTTCTGTTTGGTGAAATATTTGGCCCATTTAACTGATTGTAGCGCTCACACAAAACCTTTATTTCCCCACTGTGTACAATTTGAGTTCTCGTCCACATGAGGACTGATGGATTTTATGATTAAATGTCCCGCGTTTTCTCAGCACAGCTCCTGCACACAGCGTTTCTCCTGTCAGGTAAAGCCTCCCAGTCGAACTTAAGTGCGTGATTGGTCAAAACACACGTGCGATTAATCTGCGTTCATTTGTGGATGATTAATTGTATGCATTAACTTTGACAGCCTTGATTTCAGTGACACATTTTCAGGAGCCTGTTCATGATCCTGTTTAGGTGTCACACAAAAACTTGAAGGGGGCTTGTTTAACAGCACAAATCAGTTCACATGTTGTACTTGAATCTAAACAATCTGAAACAAATCACCGTATCACAGTATCAGAAACCATTTGCGTCCAGACACGTTGTTTTTGTGTCCACAAGCCTTCACTATCCATACAGCTTTGTGCATATTTGTTTACATTTTACAGAAACGAAACTTAAAACCACATGGCTAATTTGCAGAAACTGAGTGCTCACAAACAACTCACTATTGTGTAATGATGCCGTTCAGCTTCTGTCGGACTAAAGGACACGACTCAGTGGATTATGAGTGTTCTTTCTGTGACAGAGGGGTGTTCTGCTGATGATGAGTCTGTTCTGTGCTTCTGTCACGTTGGAGATGATTCATGTTAAACTTTTCAGAGATTATACATCTGCAGGTCATACGCATAGACCGGTTTTTTGAATGGACATATATTTTAGCCTCTTAGTGTTTTTGTGGTGAATCACTTCACGGCGCATAGAACTACATCAGCGTATCAGCGTTTTCAGGCGTCCACACAGTGCCAGATCAGATCTGTACTCAGATGAATTCGTGGGAGCTGGCGGCACCAGATCGTTCCATCTCCGGAGCTGTTTTCAATCGGATTAGTGTGGATGAAAACTGCATTCACAACAAAAACTACTCGAATACATACTAGTGTGGATGGGGCCTTAGTCAGTTCTTTCAAGTCAGATTGTGCTCAGATTAAAGTCTAACTTGAGTAACATAGCTTCAGACAGAGCAATGCCTTGATGACATTAGTAGCAATAAAATGTTAAATATCAGTGAATGACTCCAGGAAAAATAGCTGAGCTTAAAATGCATACAAATATAAATACAAATACAAAGAGTGGTGTATTTTAAATCTCATTTTAAAGGTGCATTATCTAACATTTCACCTGCTTCTCTTCATGGAAATATTGCCTAGAATGTTCCACAGTATGGCATTACACTTATCTCTAAGGATACAGCAGGTGACACCACGGGACTAAGGAACACTTGCAGGTAAAAATGACAAAATATTTTATAGGAAGTGCCTTTCGTTTAGACAGTGACTGCGTTTTTGGGGCTTAAAAACACAAAAATCTGAAACCATCCTCCAGAGTGGAAAAGATGCATACGCTCGCTTTTCCGTCTACACTGCCCAAGACGCAAAACTCTGGTCAGATCTGCTCAGGTCGTGTACACGTTTACGTCACATACATACAGTAAACTTGGCATGCATACCCAATCGAATTCCACACACTTTTGCGTCACCGTATGCACGCACATTTCCCCCTGAAAATACTTGTTTAAACATAAATAATAAATAAAAAGTGCGATGTGACACCACTTTTGCGTTTTCTTTTCAGACCGTCATCATATAAACGTAGCCTGACAATGCAAGTTTTTAAGTCAACTAAAAATATTTTATTGAGTAAATCCAAAGTGATACTTTTAATGCCACACTGGGACATTCCAGACAAAGCAGCTTTTACTCTGGCTTTTCACACCGTGTAATTTGTGTGGTCCTCTGTTGTCTTTTATTTATTCTTTAAATTTTTTTTGTATTCTTATTATTTTAAAAGTGAAAAAAATGCATAGCACACTCAGAGGGCTGATGTCCAAAAGCTTTTTTATTTTTAAATAACGTTTCGGCAAAAAAAAAGCCTTGGCAAGAGCAAGAAAAATATCTGATGAAGTCTTTCATAATTTAAAAATAAAAAAAGCTTTTGGACATTAATTCTCTGAGTGTGCTATGCATTTTTTCACTTTTATCTTGCTCTCCTTGTATTTGCACCTCTACAAGTTTCAACTTTTCTGTTTCTTTTGATTATTATTATTTTAAACATAATTTTACTGATGTTTTTAATACCTTTAATACCTTGTCTTATCTGTGCAGCACTTTGGAAATGGTCTTGTTTATAAAATGTGTTATATAAATAAAGTGGATTTGGACTTTCGAATAGGAATGCATTTACTGTGTCCTTTGTATCAATTCAATTTGCTGTTCCGAACTCAAGATTTCACAAAATATTTAAAGTCTGCCGTAAAACCTTCTTCCTTCTATCCAACACGGTGATGTACTGCTCCCTATACCCTCTCCTGGTGAGTAGTGGTCCTGCGCTCTCAGTCAGTACATGAACCGACCGTGTGGAGACAAGATGTCCCAAAAGACACACTCCGTGACACGTGAAAGAAGAGAAAGGCTGATGAGTGGTGTTTTAAGAGGAAGTTGCTCTGCCAGTAACCACTCACACTTCACACTTACTCACTCCTGTATCAAACCGCTGCTCTGACCAACCCCAGGCTAGATCATGACTAAAACAGGATTACAACAGGGCCAAGCCGAACTTACACCAGGACTAACCCAAGATAACACCAAACCTGAAGTCTGATTTTTTATTTTTGAACTGAAACTGAGGTAAAAAAAAAAATCTACTAATGGCAGCAGGGTTTGTGAAAATGGAGATATACATATTTGTCATTCTTTTACTGTGTTCAGGTGAGTTCTGCTCATGTTATTTTGGTAATTAATAGTAGTAAGTAGGGGTGTAACAATATCCAAGTCTCATGATACAATATTTTTACGGTATGAACCTCACAGTATGATATTTATGGAGAGGCTCATAATTAGGGATGTAACAATATCCAGATCTCTTGGTACAATATTTTCACGATATACATCTCAAGGTATGATATTTATTGCAATATTTTGTGGAGGCTAAACAGCTAAAACTGTTAATATGTGACTTTTTCCTCTTAAAATGCCTTGACAAGACTTAATCCAAAGAACTAAGATTTAAAAGTGCTGAGAACTGTTATTTATTCTCGTAGTTTGCACTGAAATGGAGCAAAGGATCTTGGTCTATTTAGTTCCCTCTGTCTTTTTTTTTTTTTTCTTTTTTAGCTATCGATGCACCATAACTCTTAATTTAAGTAAAGAGACATGTAATTCGATATATTGTGATGGTCCACGATATTATTGTGAGAACTTCGGTTATTGTTACATCCCTAAGCATATATAAACAAATTGTAATATTCTGATTTGCATAAATGTATGTTTCAGGTGCTTTAGGATGTAACTATAGACGTGCTCTGAGCATCACTGTACCGAACCTGGAGGCTCTGAGTGGCACCTGTTTGCTGATCCCCTGCACATTCAGCTTTTCCACTACATATAAATTAGACCTGACTAACCCTGTTGTAGCCATTTGGAGCAAGACACATCCCAACTTAGGCAGACCTGGAGATCCATTATTTTTTCACAGTGCTATGCCCAGCCTCTCATCTCCTATGAAAATGATTGGAGACCTGCGTCAGAAAAACTGCACCACTCTGTTCTCTGATATAAACACAAGTCATTCTGACAAGTATTACTTCAGAATACAAAACCACAAGTTTATCGCGACTGCACTTTGTGATCCATTTAATATAACAGTCCAAGGTAAGACACAATTGCTTGTTTGTTTTTGCAATAATCAAATCACTAAACTGTGGTAATAACAAAGGCTGAACGTCTAAAAGACACAAGTAACACGGCTTTCATTAGAGTTATAAAATGTAAAATCAACTGATAGCTTCAAGTGTGAAAAAGATGCTTAGGACTGTTTTGGTTCCTATTTCTGACAGCAGTAGGTTTGGAGCTTTTCCCTATAAATGTGCATGTAAAAGAACTATGAAAAGTACCAAAAGAAATAGGCAAGGCAAGGCAATGCAAGTTTATTTGTATAGCACAATTCGTACACATAGTAATTCAAAGTGCTTTACAGAATAAGAAATACATTAAAATCACAAACAAAACAAATCAAAACATAAATAATCATTGGGGTGTAACGATATCCGAGTCTCACAATATGATATCGTCACGGTATGAACGTCACGGTACGGTATTTATTGTGATATCATGGGAAAGCTCATGATATGGTGGGGAGGCTCATGATTAGGGATGTAACAATATCCGAGTCTCTCTGAACGATGTTTTCATGAAATACACCTCAGGATATTTATTGCGATATTTTGTGGAGACTAACAAAACTGTTAATATTCTACTTTTTCCTCTTAAAATGCCTTGACAAGACTTAATCCAAAGAAGTAAGACTTAAAGGTTGTATAGAGGATTTTCCAAAGAATGAGAAATCCAGTGACTGTTTGTCCTTTTTCAAATGTTGCGCATGCGTGAAACCACCCCCCCTCCCCTACAGCTCCCTACGTAGAAACGCCTCCTCCCACCTCCTCTTTACACCAGAAACAGGTTTGTTTCTAGAAAACAAGTACTCATCGCTGCACATGACTTGTGAACAACTAACTACAGTGTTGGTTAGGCAAGGGGGAGAAGTGAGGAGCGGGGAGAAAAGCAGAACGAGGAGCGGGGAGAGAAGCAGGAAGGGGTGCGAATGAACTAGCTACTACTACAACAAGCAACAGCCAACGGGCTCTTTCTTTACATTGAAAATTAAGTTTTCAGACATAGGATATCGCATTCGTGTCCTGAAAAACGTTTGTCTAGCTCGTGGAAATAAAGTACGTTTTCATAATAAGCAGAAGTTTCCTGTCCAGAAGTAATTTGGCGACCAGTGCGTCAGTCTTTAGACCCTTCGTCTGCTTCAGTCGCGCCATCGCTTTGCTGCTTTTCCCCTTGTCTTCTTCTTTCAGCGACCTCAAAAACAGACTTTCTTTTGCTGCTAACTGCTCCTGGATTCTTGTTGCCATTGCAACAAACTTTGTGCTAACTGCGAGGAAGATATAGGTCAAAAAAGCCGCTAAGAACTGTTGCGTTGGTGGAGTGAACAGCGTCTGTGCGTCTTGAGTCTGTGGACTGCGTGACAGGCGTACGTAAACCACGTAACGGCAGCGCGCAGGCAAGTCAGTTACACTAGAAACGTAGGGAGTTTGATTGACAGCCTGTCAACTAACAGATAACGAGGCAGTGTATTGGCAAATGTTTAGCTGGCCCCACCACGTCAAATACAAACTATGAGCTTCTTTAGCACAGGAAGCTCGGGAGGTTTAAACCAGTGGTGAGGAACTTTGAGATATCCCACAATTCACTGCACAGATCAAACCAAACAGATTCTTCATTAAAATCTTCTGCACAACTAAACTCAACTTTACAACATATAAGCCGTAACCACTATAGAGCCACATCAGCCCATTTCATAATATAATTCAGCTTTGATCACATTTGTTTATGTTTTACAGAAATTAAACTTAAAACCGCATGGTTAATTAGCATAAACTGTTAGCGGTGATAAAAACAGCTCGCTCCTTGTGCCGCTGATGTGGTGATGTGGACTAAAAGACACGACTCAGTGGATTATGTGTGTTCTTTTTGTGACAGAAAAGGTGCTAATGATGGTAAGTAAGTTCTGTGCGTATACAGTATAGGAGATAGTTCATGTTTTAGCTTTTCAGCGATCATATGCGTGCAAGTCATACCAGTGCAGATTGTACGTGTGCAGGTTTAGCGCAGCTTTATATTCTACAGTCATTTCACTCATGTATGGTCACTTTATTTATGTTGGTCACTTTATTTATGTCGCTACTCTTGTGGTGAAAAGACTGGAAAGTGTTTGTCTTTTGAACGCATGCGCACTCAATTTTATGTTGCAGTAACCGAGATACTGCGTATACATCCCACAGTATCCCAGTTACTATTGGAATATACCAGTTACAGTATTCCAGTTTCTAATAACCGGAGTACTGTGTATACATGCACCATGAAGAAACTGGGATACTCAAAAACCTGATCATAACCGGGATACTGATGTGCATGTAAACGTACTCAGTGAAACAAAACATAACACAACTTCAAGTATATTTGTGATGAGGAAACAACATGATGACACTAAATCAACTTTTCTGATTGTCACTATCCATCTTTTGTGCAGAATCTCCATGGACCCCGTCAGTGCAGGTGTCAGGGTCACAGAGGGAGCAGGAGACAGTGACTATAACCTGCTCTGCTCCCTCTCCCTGTCCTGAAGCTCCTCCTAAACTCACATGGAGCCTCCAACCAGAGCCTCCACACAGCATGCTCCAAAACTCTAATGGCACCTTCACCACTTCAGTACAACTCCAGATGAGATTATCTGAGCAGCACCATGGACTGAAGGTGCACTGTTCTGCTGTGTATCCTGTGAAGGGAGGACAGAAGAGTGCAGACAAGACCATCTCTCTGAGTGTGGAGTGTAAGTGTTCGGCCTCACTGAGTTTTGGAAATGTTTTATCAAAACAATCATTTTCAAAAGGTATTATTTTAAGTGCATTAAATTTATATTATATTTAAAGGAGATATTATGCAAAATGGACTTCTGTGAGTTTTAACCTACCTACTACAATATTTTTCAGACTATAAATTGCACTTTTTTTTCATGGTTTGGGTGGTCCTGTGACTTATACTCCTGTACGACTTATATATTAAATTTGCCCACTGACAGAGGGCGCTCTAGGCTTGTGTGTCAGTATCTGCTGGTCCTATTACTCCTGTACTACTGTCACGTGGCTCTACTGTGCATGTCTCCTACAGAAAGAGCCGCTGTCTTGCTGCAAGTATTATTCAATATTCAGCCAAAAGCGGTAATTGAGCAGCAAAACAAAAAACAAAACAAAAAACGGGAGGGTGCACCATCCAACTGTCCTGGAAGTCACTGGATGGATGTTCAAAGCCTGAACTTCAGTGACAACAGAAACCATCCTGTCGGGATTCAGAAAGGCTGGAATAATTCTAACTGGAACTGATGTTGAGTCTGACGACAGCTACGCAGAAGAGGAAGCGGCGCTCTGTTTACCTCATGGATCTATGGTTTACCTCCGTAGGTCATGGAGTTGTTCAGAAGTGACACCAAGGATGAAGAATTCAGTGGATTTAGTGATATGGAGTGATGAAGAGTTTGGTAAACTTAAACTCGTTATAGTTATCTCAAGAACTGTTCATATGTGACATTCACAGTCTGTTGTTCTCTGTTCTGTTTTTATTACTATAACTTGCGTTTCAAGATGAAATGTCGGTTTGTGGTCTCTGATTTTATAAAATGAATTTCCTTTAAAAAGTATGACTTATAATCCGGTGCGACTTATATATGTTTTTTTTCATCTTCATTACACATTTTTTGGCTAGTGCCACTTATACTCTGGAGCAACTTATAGTCCAAAAATATGGTATTTCTGCCCAAGACTCTTGCTCATACATGTGGGGTTTAAAATGTGAAAAAGTAAATGAAATTCAGCCGCTTGCTATAATGAAATGCCATTGTGAAAAGGGCGGGGCTATCAGTTTTGCAGTTTTGAATAGGACGTCAAAGAACCTGTGTCTCTTATTAATAAACTGTTTTACATCAATGTTTAGGCTACAAATGTAGAATAATGATCTATGCATGTTATAGTTTATTATGAAGTTTCCAGAAAAAGCAAAATATGACTTCCTTAAAGAGACAGTCCGCAATTTTGGACAGATGACCTCATTTCCTAGTGAGTCAGAGTGTTGGAGACGTGTGGAGACACTTTTAAAAATATTCCACCCAGTCCTTGTATTTGCAGAGGTCGCTGGTGCTGGGCTAGTGCATGTCAATGGCCATTATCCTGCCACTAAAAACAGTCTTACCCACTCCACAAAACACCCGAAGCAAAACTGTTACACCAGACTTTCGATGTAAATGTCTGTGTTGTTAGAATAATTTTAGAAGTAAAACCAACCAGGACTGGATGGAATATTTTAAAAAGTGTCTCCACACATCTCCAACAATCTGGCTCACTAGGAAATGAAGTCATATGTCCAAAATTCTGGACTGTCCGTTTAAATCATATCTTGTCATTATAATATTTTGTTAAAATGTGTGTCATGTCTCTTCAGATTCTCCTAAAAACACATCTGTGTGGCTCAGCACGAACACTTCACTGTCAGAGGGACAGTCTGTGAATCTGAGCTGCTCCAGTAGAGCCTGGCCTCCAGTCCAGAACTTCAGCTGGTTCAGGGTCACCTCACAGGGTCCACAAAGAGTTCATGAAGGAAACATCTATAGCCTCATTTTCAACCGTGCAACCCAAGGAGAATACTTCTGTCAAGCCAAGAATCAAGTCGGGAAACAAAACTCTCCAACAATCAACCTGCAAGGAGAAACACTTGAATACGAGCTACCATGGAAGCCCATTCTTGGAGGAAGTATTGGTCTCCTGATACTCATCTGCATCGCTGTTTTTATTAGGTGAGTGAATTTGAGTGTCAAACACTGCTGGAACACATATAATAACCTTTAGATCATATGATATATATATATATATATATATATATATATATATATATATATATATATATATATATATACAACAACATTTTCACAACTGTTGCACTCTGTGGGCCAACCCCAGTGCACACTAGATTTAGTTCTGTTTACTTCACTTTTGGGTCGCTCTTGTTCACAAATACTGCACCATGAGCCACATGAGTCACACGCACTTTGGAGGTGGAGGAGAAAAAACAACAAAGAGCTAAGCAAGCTAAGAACGAGGTTTAGCTGTGCAGACAGAGGCAAGAAGATAAAATTAATCCAAACTGCACTGTCATACAAATGTTTCAAATGGCCAAGCCTGCAGTGCCCATTCATACAAATAAACACCTATTTACCCAATTCTAAACACTTTTACTTTCACCTTGCATAGGCCCGATGTCAGCCCGAGGTCGGCCCCTCCTAAGACCTCCTGTTTCAAGTGCTCTCGGAGTGGATGTTTACTGTGGTCCAGAATACAAACGCATTAGATCGAACACTCTTTCACACCGACCTAACAAACCTGTCACACCAGTGTTATCCTTCAGTGTGTGTTTCTGTGACGTTGTATTAGTATTTGTAACTTAGCATACTTTTTTAAGCAGTTGAGTCTCCATTCTGTTTTTTTCACATTACATTTGCTGAGTTCCTCTACTGGAGGTTGAAGGAACAGTGTGACTGTTCTAACAGATACCAACATTTCTAATTCCATCCACGCCAGCAGGTGTTTGTACTCAAAAAGAACCTTGCTGCAACCTGGACAGTCTTGCCTGATGTTACATAGTACTTTAAATTGCAGTGCACACATTCAGTTTTGGACAGTTTTTGACCAGAAAGCTGCAAATAGCTGTTTAGTTTAGTTCTACATTAATAAAACGTTTGTGTGCCTGTGTGTTTTTTCAGTCATCACATCATTTCTAAAAGTCGGGCCCCAAAGGAAGCCCAGGTAAGATATTATCTACAATATCTCAGACTGTGCCAAAAAATATGCTTGTGACAGTTTTACTCTTTCTTATACAGATAGAGATTTATGAGAATGTGCACAAAGAGGAAGACACTGTCCTTTATGGAGAAGTGGTGTTTACCAAGTCTACAACATCCAGGCCTGGTGCTAAGGTCCACCAGACAGAAAACCCGGAGGAGACCATCTACTCCCAGGTTAAAGTTGGTCCAATATATCCCACAGAGGACCTTTACGCAACAGTGAAGAAGAGCTGAGTCTATATTTTATTTAAAGACTAAATGCAGAAGTGAACAGAAAAGCTGGGGGTCTGTAGTTCCCATGGTGAAACAATGCAGACATTAGCAAACACAGCCATAGAAGTTTTAAGATATAGTCTGAAAACTCAATAAAAATACAAAATGGATGTAAACAATGCATTTTCAGAAGGCTGTGATCAATACGAGTGTTCATGGTCCTGTTTTGGTTTGATTTTCAACAAAAGGATCGACATACCGCCACTCCGACAGACCCCCACCCTGACATTCCTCATTCCGACAACACTCCATTCCCACATTCCCACATAGCCACATTCCAACACCTTTTGCCATCCGGACAACCTGCTCAAAGTTTGGAGTGTGACCTTTTTTGCCTTGTGTATGCCGCATGGACCGCATCTCCTCCCATGCACTGTGTGGGCAGCACCTCTAAACCAGGACTAAAATCAAGACTAAACTAGGACTAAAACCAGCACTAAAACCAGGTCTAAACCAGGACTAACCAGAACTAAAATCAGGACTAAAACCGCGCCTCCTACGCCACCAGTCCATGAAAATATTGTCCCAAAAAGACCGCCGCCACAACTTAATAATTACCTTGCGTGAATGTTCAATAAAACCTAAAAAGTGTCGGAGTTCTGGGACGTTTGATAAAACATGGAAATGCCGCCCTTCTGACAATTAGATGTCAATGTCAGAGTGGCGGTATGTCGGAATGGCAGCCTGTAACTGGGAATTGTTTAACAGCACAAACCAGCCCACCTGTTGTAAGTTTGTTTGTTCCGGTTACATTGTGCTCAGATTAAAGTCTAACTTGAGTAACAGAGTTTCAGACAGAGCAGTGCCTACAGATAGCATCACACCCCCAGGAAATGTTGATGACGTCAATATCAATAAGTTTCAGTCTTGGAATACAAAGAAAGCAAACTAGCAGTTTTCTGCGTTTCAAATCATCAGTGGCATGGATCAGCTAGTATCGTAGTACCTGAGATCGGTCTTGGTCTTGGACTCGGTCTTTTCTCTGACTTGATGGTGCTTGGTCTCGGTCTTGTCTCAGACTCGAGATCTGACATTGGACGAGTGCGATCATATTTCATTACGGCTGGTAAATGCGCTGAGGCTGCTAAATATCACTGCAAAACCCGTAAGATAATATAAATGTAAATGTTATGAACTTCAAAAAACTCACTTGATTCACTTTGAAGTTGTTTTCTGTAAAGTGCCAGTGGAAATCGAATTAAAGGAGAGGTTCTCAAACTGCAGGTGAGGGTCCAAAAAGGGGCACAGAGTGTTTCTGTGCAGCCTAAATGAACATTAATCAGATGAAGTGGAGATTGATTTATTAAAACATTGATATAAAGGTGTCAAAATAACTAACTGCTTCGGTCTTGTTTCGGTCTCGACTGTCAGAGGTCCTGGTCTTGTCTGGTCTCGGCCTTTAAAAGTCTTGGTCTTGTCTCGGTCTCGACTGTCAGAGGTCTTGGTTTTGTCTTGGTCTCTGCCTTTAAAAGTCTTGGTCTTGTCTTGGTCTCGACTGTCAGAGGTCTTGGTCTTGTCTCGGTCTCGGCCTTTAAAAGTCTTGGTCTTGTCTTAAAAGTCTTGGTCTTGTCTCGGTCTCTTGGCTTTAAAAGTCTGGTCTTGTCTTGTCTCGGTCTTGTCTCTCTTGGTCTTGGGCTTGTCTTAAAGTCTTGTCTTGTCTCGGTCTAAAAGTCTTGTCTTGTCTCTGTCTCTTTTAAAAGTCTTGGTCTTGTCTCGGTCTCGGCCTTTAAAAGTCTTGGTCTTGTCTCGGTCTTGGCCTTTAAAAGTTTTGGTCTTGACTCGGTCTCGACTGTCAGAGGTGTTGGTCTTGTCCTGGTCTCGGGACCCTGTGGTCTCGGACTGGTCTTGGTCTCGATTAGTGCGGTCTTGACTACAACACTGATTAGCACCTACCATTTTGAGGAATTTAAAAATAAAGGTCCTCTATTTTACAAATTGGTTTCTCGTGAGTTTTGTTACCTCCTCAATAACACACCCAGAGTTGTATTTTGTTTCATTCACATATGTTTGAGTAACATTAGTCTTTCTGCATCGCCAAAGCTGAAAATGCTCTGTTCCACCATGTGACATCAAGTAGTGGTAGTTTTGGTCTGAAATCATCCCAACGATTCTAGTAAAGTTGCATGGAGTTGAAAAACACTGTGGAGCACTTCCTGTATTAACTCTTTCCCCCCTGGACGCCTACTAGGAACAACCCATACATATGTTACTAGGGCTACACCCATAGAGCATAATTGCATAAAAGAAAACAGACTTCCACGAGTGATTTCAGGGCAATTTTGGTTCATAATCGAGTATAAAGCCCGGATAGTTTGTTGGGATATCGCAGGACTCCACACAGACGCATCAGCGGCATTCTCACCTTTGTAAGATTCACTCTCTGTAAGTCCGTCGCTGTCGCTGTTTTCCACTTTATAATCAACTTCATCATCACTTTGAAATCTATAAAAGTCACTTTCTCTAAACTTATCCATAAAATACGTCCGCTCCTCATTATTTCTAAAACTGTGCGCCGCAGCGCCGCGATCTTTCCATTGCACGTGTTTCGTGTTGTGTTTTTTCCGGAAGCTACCATCGTCACTACTTCGATTAACTTCGGAAAAAATCGGCGAAAACATATCCTTGAATCCTAATTGGTCAGTCTAGTGTGGGTTGTAGTGGCCCCCACCTATCGCAGTCTCTGTTTAAATGTGAAAAACCGAGCCATTTCTCGAGGTCGTCAAATCACGTCTTTAGTGATACAGCGGAGGTGTCAAAAGTCGTCATTAAGGGTTCAGGGGGGTCGTCAAATGTCGTCTTCATGGGGGAAAGAGTTAACACGTGACATGACAATGACACATTCGGTTTGTGTGTGTTAAACGTGTGAATGAAACACAATTCCGGGCATGTTTTTGATGAGGAAACAACAGTATTACACAGCTCAGAAAGTGGTGTAATTTGTCTCTTTAAATATGGTATTGTGCCGATTGTTTTCATATATCTTTAGTGATTTGGCATGTGTGTATTTGCTTTTATCACCATTGTATAGTATTGTAAATATCTGAATATGTAAAAGAGTTTTGGATTGGCTGATGTGTGGCTGTCCTATACATTTTTTTTCATAATACTGTAAATTAAAAGCAAATTTTTGTATTTAATGTAATTGTTTTATTGAGATTGCTGTTATTGCATCTGTGTAGTGATGATTTGATGTCACCTGTATATTTGTATAAACGCTTAAATTCTAAAATGAAAACTAAATTAAACGAATGCAAGAAGAACATCGCTTTTGTTCCACCCAATGCTACACTAATCACACAGCGCCCAGTATCACACTATGGTCTGACAACACAAGTGGAGGAAGTGTGGAGACTTAAAAGGGCCCATATTATGCAACTTTCTGAACTATTTCATAATCACCAAAATACCCAGCATTGTGTTTTTCAAATCCAAATACACTTTATTTCTGGGCCCGGTCAAGCAGAAGTAAATAGCAAGGTCAAAAATTCAAGTTAATGCATCTGATATAAAAATGCATTCAGCAGATAGCATATGTACTCTAGTTTATGAAACTGTTTACCTTTTTTCTGTACCATTTTTGGTTCTAAAGTTACATAAGTTTTAAACAGACCATGTATGAAACATGGAACAAAAATTATTTCCCAAATTTCAAAGACCTGCAAATCATGTAAATAAACTGATGTATTTCATCATATCTTGTGTTATTCGAATCTTTGAACTGTTGATGAAGGTACATGATTTTAAAAAAAAAATGTATTTAAAATGATAAAAATTTGCTTAGAAGGACTGACATATTTTATAGAAATAGTTACCTTTTATTTTGAAGTAATATGAAAGTATTCGAAAGAAAAAAAAAAAAAATTATGCAAAATCATGCACCTTCTACTTACTTGCACAATTTTCCCTCCGTTACTTTTCCCTCCGTTACCATGACCTTTCTTAATAAAAAATCTCATTACTCAAAAAGTAAGAGGTTTTTCAATCTAATCTTGTACCATATGGTAGAAAACTATATGAAGCAAATATTCAAACCAGTTTGTTAAGGATATGTAAGTGAGAACCGCTGGTTATCACTGTTTGTATTTATTGCCCAAAAAGTGCTGCATATTTCATTCCCTCTGTTACCGACATGAGTTTTTAAAATTTTTTGTCAGCAACTTGAAAGAATATCGCAGGTTTAACTTTACCCTGTTGGAGTGTTAACTCTTTCCTACATTCTGATGCCTTACTTATTTCAATAGTCCCTCTAGTTTCTGAATAAGAGCTTTTGAAAAAGATCTGCCCCTGTTTCCCTCCGTTACAGCTTGACCTGATCCTTCTATAGCACATTTTACAAACAACGCAGTTTCCAAAGTGCTGCACAGAGATCATAAAATGAAGACAATAAAAAGGCAAATTGCTAAAATGTAGTCATACTTGTCCTAAAACAATAAAACCAGTACAATCTAAATAAAAGCAAAAGCATAAAAATCATAAAATAGCAGTAAATAAGTAAAATAAACAAAAGACACAGACGACCACACAAATCACGCGGTGCCAGAAAATAAAAGTGTGTCTTAAGACGAGACTTAAAACACACTACTACTAGAGTGCTCCAGAGCTTGGGGCCGGCCACAGAGAAGACCCTGTCCCCCCGGCTTTAAGTCTTGTTTTAGGCACCACGAGCTGGAGCTGGACCTCAGACCTCAGAGCGCGCAGGGGTGAAAATTTGTATGAAAATTTGTCCAAGACGTACGGTGGGGCCAGTCCATTCAAAGCTTTAATAACAAACAATAAAATCTTAAAATCAACTCTAATTCCAGTTAAAAGGCTTTTCTTTCCAGGATTTTCAGTCATGCTTCCTCAGCTACAGCACGGTGGATGTGACGTCCGAGAGGAGGGTAGTCAGGTACGGCAAAGGATCTGCACCTCCTAAGATTAATTAGCTAAACAGAGTCGACCCTATGTTCCCTCAGCCCTATAATCCCTAATTTCAAAGATTTTTCTTATTTCTAAGATTTTTCTCAAAATGAAACTCTAATTCGTCACTTTTATTTTTATACAGAGTCATTTAAATCTAGGATCCTTTGTAGCCAGGCTGGTGCCACCTAGTGCCTCCGCTCAGTTTCATTTCTCTTCAGCGACTAGGTCAGGAATCAAAATACTCTAGACGGTTTGCAAAATCCCCAGAAGTGCAAGTTTGGGCACTTGTCAATCAGTGAAGAGTCATATATTGAGTGTTGTCAATGATTCCCGAGATCGAGGATTTAAAACCGGAATAAATGTTTGGTGAGTTTCATCAAGGGGAGAGACATTAGTGCCCTTCTTCCTGCGGGATTTGGGAAAAGCTTAATATACCAGTTAGCCCCGTTAGTGGCGCATTACATACATTGCGACCAAATAGCAGTAATTGGTTAAATGAAAAAAAGTACCCGCCTACCATCGAGCGAACGAAATCTAAGGCTGTGAGGTTTGTACGAAGTGAAACGAAGTAAAACCAGCTGATGAATCAGGCTAGATTCTTTGTACCATGACCTCTACATTACATCTGTAGTCAACTGCTGCTGGAGAATAGGTTGGGTGCAATTGATGACCAAACTGGGAGAAATGGGAATAAAATCTGATTCAAATTGATCATAAAAGGAATGTGGGAACATAGACTAAACAACTACACAGATGTTTGTATTTGGACTTTGGTATAAGGTGAGGTATCGTTACTATTAGTATAAAATACTTGCTGTCCAAAAATGTTGTAATTATTTATTTTGAGTGTGTGGTGGTATTGTATGTCTCATCTTTTCTTAGTGCAGCAGAACAGTAGCAGAGCTCTCAGCCCTCCCAGCAGCCACACAGTCTGTGGTATGCCCCGCTACTGAAATGATGACAGTGATTATCCTGAGTCACCACCAGTAATCAGATGGAACAACCACCTGAAAAGTACTATGGACTTCAGTTATATCAGTAAACATGTTCGTCTTTGTCAACATTCAATTCCAGATATATTGGTTAAGTATAATTGTGGTAAATTGAAGATATTATAGAATATATTAACAATACAAAGACAGAAAAGATCAAAGTATAATTGTACATTGACATGAACAGGGATGTGAGTGGTCGTCAACTTCAAATAAACATCCAAAAACTATATTTAGTGATTTCTATCGTGTAGTCTACGACAGATGAGACATAAAGGCAAAAGTAAACATTTTAAACAACCAACCAGACCCCAATACTAATCATGTAGGATGTTTGTATTTTCATATCAACCCAGTAATCCTCAAGTTTTATGATAAATGAGCAGGTTGGTAGTGAGTTCATACATCAGGGGAAAGAGCAGCTGTTTTCCAGTAGTTCTGGAGTCTGAGTGAATCATTACAACTGGGACAATTAGAAATCTGGTTGACTACTCCAATTTTCCAGTATCACAGCACACAAACGACATATGTGATGGATTTTAAAAACACAGAGGAGCTTAATGACTCCTCTGTATTTGACAACGTGTCTGATGAAAGAATCTGCAAGGACTCTGTTTTTCCTGGACACTGCGTTGCTTTGATAGGACGCGTA